AAAATAAAGAGGCACAAACACTACACTTAAGTTCTTCCATTTCATGTCATTTCTTTAAATATTTCTCTCTCCCCCTGGGTTCACATCTGTGATGCAAACTAAAGTCTTCTACTGCAGTCAAAGAGCTTCATTGTGCTGCCTGCCAGAGTCCACACACACACACTAAGCTCATCGCGCCCGCTGGTAGTTTATTCTGCCCGTAATGAGAAATCTGAGTATGCGCACACACACACGCTCAACTAGCCCCCCACTTGCACAAAACACTTTTCCAAACACAATTATTCACAGTTAGTGAGATAACAAAGTTTTTTTTGTGCGTCTGTAATGAGTAACTCAAGTTTGGAGACACACAAACACCTCCCGGGGAGTTCAGTGTGTGTAATTTATGGAAGGGTCTAAGAGATGGAATGCTTTAAGCCACCTATACCAGAAACCGCTATGCTTTTCCTTGGCCCTGCCTAGCGTTCCCTCCTCAAGTCCAAACCCATCCCAGCTCGTGGTCCTCTCTAATTTCACCCAAGGCAGCAGAAGCTCGAGCCGAAAACGAGGAATCTGGCCCCCAAGTCCGGCAAACTATTCCCTTTTCCTGTCTCCCTCTTCTTCCAGCGACCACAGATCGACAGCTCTATGGCCAGCACTGGCCCAAAACTATGAGGGGTATTTTCAGCACTGTAATTTGAAGAGCACATGGTATACACACAGGCAGAGACACACACTCATACACAGGATAACACACTCAGCAAATGCACAGACATCAGGGAATGATCAAAAGCCACAGGAGAGAGACAGTAAGAGGAGATGCAAAATGCTCGCTAATGCATGTGTCCTAACATCCACAGGACAATTCATCCTCCTCAGGATCAGGTCAGGAAGTGTGCCTCCTCTCACCGTGCAGGGAAGCAGGGCGGAGGCCTATAGCTGCAGAGAGATGTGAGGGGAACTCATCTGAGACGAAGAGGCCAGTATAGGGATGTAATGGCAGAGAGGGCAGAACCCAGAACAGCAAGTCCAACAAAAATCAGCTTTAATGATACACATCATGTTTATCTTTGGTGCTTGATGATTCAAAGCTTTGCTATGCCATGCTTACACCAGAATCCTGAGCTTTTGGATTTATTTGACATAGTCTGACTATTTAAAAAGCTTTGTCACACTAATAAGACAACTTAATAACACTTGGTGAACCACAGCTTCCATCAGCTAATATAAAGTCAACATGTTCACCTTTTCATTTAGCTTAAAGTAACATAAACTAACATTGACTTTTTCCTCTGCAGATTGCGTGGTAGAAAACAAACGGAGCAGAATAACCAGACAACAAAACAAAAGTCAAATCTCAAATAGGATCTGCTCTCATTTGATGGGATGACACAAGAACAGTAATACTCTCTACCCATGTGTGCAAAATATACCTCAGTAAAATCCATTTGCTTGCTCGTGCACTTGCCGACACACTTTCACTGGTTACAAATGCAGTAAATACTTCTCCTCTTGTCCAAGACTTTAATTACCCTGCACAGTCTTTATTTCCTATAAATAAAGCACAGGGCTGTAATTAGGGCCTAAATTTACCCCACCTGGCTAGAAGAGAACCCTGTTCAGTGCTGGCTGCAGGGATGAGCCAGCTCAAGTCGATTACTATGCTGCCATGGATGGAAACAGTGGACACACAAGAGCTACTGTATGTCCAATGACTCCCATCTCAAAGGCCCTGTTTATACCTTAACATCCATCCTGGGTGATCTGATCACGAGTGGACAGCACTTAAGGACAAGCATTTACACTTTGCCGGTCTAACGTTGCAAAATAAGCGCCTGCCCATTTAAGGGCACTGAATGAGAGACTGAATGAGTCATCATTATTCCACCCGGCGGGAGGCAGCATTGTTCTCCCAGTTGACCGGTTGGTCCTTAATGCTGCCCAGGATGCATGAGCTCTCCACGACCAAAGCAATCTGGAAAAATGTGGTCTGAGCTGTCAGATCTCAATCCATCCTCAGGATGCATTCGGGTGCGTTCTGATCATACATTAATTGCTATCACCTCGTTATCAGAGCACACAGGTCACAGGATGGATGTCAATGCAAAGTGTGAACAGGGCCTGAGATGTGATAGCTCAGACAACAAAAAGAGAGAGTTTTTCACTAAGTCTCTTCTATATATTCTCTACTCCAATCATTATATATTAAGGTAAAGCCCACAAGAAGACTTATCGGTAACAGGATTGTCAGTTTAAAAATGGCCTACAGTCCAAAAAAGCTTCTTTCTTTCTTTATTTCCATTCCTCATGTTAATGATAAAAGAGAGGGACCAAGCGAGGAAGATGTCTGAGTCAGCTGCTGTCCTCCTCTGCACCCTGCACATGGCTTCACCACCTCAAACCAAAGAGTTAGAACCCAGATCAAACATATTAGAGGGCTGCTCTTCCCTATTTGGTTTTGTGTTCCCTTGCTTTCTTGTTCTCCCTTTCCTATCTCTCTGAAATAATCCGAGGTTTTGACTTGAGAGGCTTTAGCCGGAGAGCAGAGTGGGCAGATGTTAGACTCTCTCTCTCTCTCTCTCTCTTTTGTGGAAAACCACATAGCTGCTGCCACTCCTATTAACACCATCTGATGAAGGATGGTTTAAAACATGCAGAAAATGAATACTAGGCACATGGTGAGGCCAGTGAGAAGAGTGTGAAGCTCCAGTTTCTGCACGAAACTGCAAAGCGACGTTCAGTGCCATAAAACACAACACAACATTTCACTTTGTCACAGCGGTTTCAAGGAGATTCCACAGACTCGTGTGTTTGTGCCTGATGCACAGGCAAAGTGGAACCACTGCTGCTCTCCCCACTTTGCGTTGGAGCAGTTTAGGGGCTTTTAAATATGATGTGAATGCCGTGGAAAGGCAAATCTGTCCGTGAAGTAAACAGAGAGGGACAGAGAAGTGTCAGAGCATTCCGTTGCCCACATGAAGATTAGCCACAGCTCTTCTCTAAAAAAGATTTCTGTTCTTCCTCGACAATGTTAAAATGTTGCTAAAATAGTTTTTTTGCTCATGGTGGATTCATGTTGGTTCTCTGTAAATAATAAAACATCGAGTACATTCTAGACCTCTCAAGTGCTTTGAGATAACTGTTGCTAAGAATCAGTGCTGCACAAATTGATTGATTGATTGATAATCTCTTTTTTGATTATTGCAACTGTGAAAACTGCATTTTAATTTGAAGCTGGAAGGGGTTAAGCTAATATTTAGTACCATTTAATGAACTGTCATGTAGTTTAAGCTGACAATGCATCATATTGTTTTAACCTAAGTCCACAAAGTAACCAGTCGGTCTGAAGCACATCACATAAAGATCAAAATAAAACTAATTCCTGGGTTTAAATCTGTCTAAAAGGCCTTGGTCACACATTTTCCTCCTGTCTCTATCTCTCTCTCTCCCCCGTAAGATCTGTTGGCTACATGGCTGGAAAGCCCCAGCAGCACATCTCCACCACCAGCACTAACCACTGAGTTTTTTCCTGCAGACAAAGTTTTAGACACACTAAAAGTCTCTCCAAAAGGCAGATTCAGTCTGAACTAATGAGATGCTTCAGCTGCAAAATGTGATTTACATGCAACATCAGTGAAATTTCATTTGCATTGCTTCAATTTATCAAGACAAGGCTTTGTGTAGTGGCCAAGGATTTGGGATAGTATTTACTTGGGAAATCGGAAATCTGTGTGGTAGCGGTATGTCAGCATTGCAGAGAGAGCGGGTGCAGTGGAGAAAATTCAAGCAGGCCTGTTGAAAAGCAGTGTGTTGAAAGGGACCTCAACGCCGACACACCTGATGTAAACACCCAGGTTCAAACATTGGAGAGGAGCCAAGCCGTCTGAGCTCATGTTACTTAAACAAACACGGAGGCACATGCACTGTGCACGCACTCTGCATTTTGAAGGAAGGCGTACAGTTCTAAGCGTGCCACAAAGAAAATATTCTGCATGTTCCTTTTTTCACTGCTGTCTCTTTGTGTCAAAGTCAATGACATCACATACCTGAGAAACAGTACTCCGTTCACAAAGGTGTCAGAGTTTAAAAAAAACAAAACATAAACAACACACATGAGCAATACTATGCAGACACATGAAGCAATGGGAGCAGAAATATGCCGTCTGACTTCCATACAGGGTGATGTGCCCTGCAGGTATTTCTGTGTCCTAAAAATGTAATCTGCTGCGGCATGTGGTGTTTTTGCAGGATTTCTCGTATTTACAATTGCTTGAGCCTTTCGCCTTAAGGCAGACATCGGTAATTAAAACATTGTGGGAGGTCCAGCACCAAAAAGTGATGGTCTTGGCAACCCCCCATTCCCCCTTGTCTACATCTTCAACTCCCCTTAAAAACAGATTTTTTTTTTCCCATTCTGGTGGAAGTTTGTTTCTAATATTGAGAAGAAGGAGTGGCCTAAAGCAGAGAGGTTCATGGCCATACTGGTTAAGTGTGGAGTGGTACCCGTGGGAAAAAAAAAAAGGAGAGCAGAGACCTCGGATTGTGAAGAATATCTATAAATCAAGAGTGAATGGATCACAGAGAGTGGCCAGTGGTGAGCTGGCTGGGTGACTGTCAACATGTTTATCACCAGATGTGGCATGGAAAGTGGAAAAAAACACACAAACACAAAAAAAAAGAAAATGGCAGAGGAGAGATAGTTGTCGGAGTAATTTTTCCCCATATAAATGGTTTTGGGCTGTACTATTGTCTGTATATAAAGATGGACAATGCATCTCCACCACCTCTAATTATACACATATGAAGTCAAAGTCCACCAGGCAATATGTCAGACAGGCGCTGACATATTGCCTGCACAGTACAGATCAGTTGGTGGAGCCAAGGCGATGACCTCTTCTGCTAACCAAAACACACATTTAACTTACCGATAACTTAAAGATCCTCAGACTAATGAAGTGTTTCCTAAGAGCAGTTTTCCAGTGTTTTGGCATTGTGCGTACATTTTTCGTAGTGGGACTTACCTGAACTGGTGTCAGCTGGGCTCTGGGGTCAAACACTCGCAGCATCTTGTCCTAAACAGGTGGAAGAAAATGACACCATTAATGTAAGACTGGAGGAAAAATGAACATTATAACCCTTATAAAAGACAGTTTATTCAGGACCGTTGCATAAGACTGCACACGTTAAGGTGTCTTTTATAAACTTCTGTACATAAATTGCATTTTAATTCAGTGACAAAATGTGTGAATTTAAATATTGGACATTAATGGGAGATGAAAGTGCATTTGAAAGGTAGAGACTTCAAGCGCTCACAATGAAAGAGGGAGGGAATACCATGCTTCTCAGTTATTTTTATGGAATATAAAATGGACTTATGAAATATGAAAGCTAGTTATTAAAAACATTATTTAAGAATGACTCGTGAAGAATAACACAAACTCCTTCACTTATCATCGTGATCTCACTGATTCATCTGCAGCAAATCCAATGACCTCCTGACGGCCTTGTGCGCCCTGAAACCGCCCAGCTCAAACACGAGTTACACATCAGTCACAGCAGCCAATCAGAGAGGCTCCAGCGTGATTGAGAGGAAATGGGGTCTAATGGGATCAGGCTGTGACCGGGACATGAGTGTCTGCAGCCGTGTCACTCAATACGTCTGTGTGACTGTGATCACAGCAAACACACGGGGCTGATGGCAGGTAATAAGTAGGGCTTAGACGGAGCCACGCACACACTTAACACACGCATTCACATGTCAAAGGGAATCAGGAGGCTGACAGTGACACAGTCAAGCACACATATAAAGGGGCAGCATGCTAAATTCTGCCATGCATACAATAAATACAGCTTTTTATATTTCAAGGGTGAAAGGGATGATCAATCAGGGCTTCAGCTTCTCTTTGAACTGCTTTCCTTAGCAATAAAAGAGGGGCTTTATTTGCTGTTTATTAGCTTCAATAGCAAACAAAGGGATTTCCTCAAGTGCCTTTTTTCAATCTGCCTCTCTCTCTCTCTCTCCCTCCCTCTCTCTCTGTGAATGTGTGGCCCACCCACGAATATGATGCCCCAAAGCTACATCTTCAGGGCCTATGTGACCTGGGCCTAAGCCAACAGCTCCAGAGCAGTGCTAGAACAACACACAAAGACATACATGCACACACAAAGACATACATACACACACACACACACACACACACACACACACACACACACACACACACACACACACACACACACACACACACACACACCACACACACACACACACACACACACACACACACACACACACACACACACACACACACACACACACACACACACACACACACACAGGCTTTGAAAACCACTGATCAATGGATGAGTCTCTATCAATGGCCTGACCATCTCTGACCTGCAAGGAATTCATCATTGATTTATCTTTCTACTCATTACTTTTTCTAAGGATGCTCATTAGCTAAAATAACATTTTTAAAGAATCGTCATTCCGACTCTATCCACTGTCCTGTCTCTCCAATTAAGGCCCAAACAGCCCCCCCCCCCCAAAAAAAAGGTTGAATCAGCATTTCTCCCATTACCACAGTTCTTTTTGCACAGGTACCAGCACCTCTTCTTGAAATGGACTTTGTGAAATATCAACCCAAAGTTGGTCAAACAACAACATGAGGGAGGAAACTATCTGGCAGTGCAAACACACAGATGAGGGGCTGCAAATGGACAGATGTGACACACACACACACACACACACACACACACACACACAAAGAAAACTCACTCGAAAGCCTATGACAATAACTAATATAAACACTCACACACCACCTCAACTCATAAACGCACAGATAGAGGGGCCATCAGAGCCATGTGTGCATTTGTGTATTTGTACTTGTGTATGTGTGTGTGTGTGTGTGTGTGTGTGTGTGTGTGTGTGCTGAGGCAGCAGCTGTTTAATCAAAGTGACGGAGGCTCACTCTCAAGCTGCCGTTAATGAGTTTCACTGAGAGTTTGCTGCACACAACTTTCACATGTATGCAAACACACACATGGTCGCCGGGACTCTCTCACTCACTCATCAGCAAACACACTCTGCTGCCAGCCTCCCGTTCCCAGTCTCCCACGGTTACCAGTGACACAGCCTGTTGTGATTGGCAGTTTGAGGCTGCAGGATTTTGCTCATCCGTCCCCCTTTTTTGTGTGTGCTGAGGAAAATATGGTAAAAGGGAAGTTCTAATGAGTCTTTGAAAATTCAAGGTAAACTAGTGGAACATAAATCTGGTGGCACCTCATTTCTGAGCAGCGTACCGCCCTATCCTGTCCATCGGTTGGATAAACACACCCTTTCCTCCCTCTCTGCTCGTACTACCTGTGTGGAATTCTCTAAAATGAATGGCGCCTTTCTCCCTCCAAGCGTGTCATAAATATACATCTCTCTGGGTCCAAACGAGGCCTGTCATGAGTCCTGCTCTTCGGGGTGGTGGTCTCCCCTTCGTGTTCCCCCCTCAGCCATGTGCCCCAATGTTTACCCTTTGGGATTGCCGGGGGGACTGGACCCACATGTTGGTGGGCCCTATTTGCTTTAATAAGTTGGATTGGAGAGATTGAAAGAGGCCTTTTGGGTTAAATGACACCAGAGACCAACAGGGCAGGAACCTCGGAGGCCCCCGAACTCTGATCATGGCTACAAATCCCCCTCTCCCTCCTCCTCCCCCTCCCCTTCCCCGCTCTGTTTCTTTTCAGGTGCCTTGTTCTTTAAGACTACATCTAAACGGGTGGCAGGGGGGATAGCTCTGGTGAGGATGATTATCCTGTCAAGGTGAACGTCAGGATTGGGACGTAGACTGTGATTGGTGGAGTAATTTGTTACCTGTCAGGGCTAAGACAAACAAAGGGGATTGGACTGACAAGCTCGCCTGTTAAAGAGGCACATGTGGAAGATTTTGGTGTCAAAGCTTATTCAAGAGCGAGAAAGCTCATCGTGCGTTGTCTGAAGTATTCACCAGAGGCCTCAGCGTCATTATCGCATCAATCAGGGTTCGACTTCGGCTTAAACAAGACACAAATACACAAAGATACAATATGTTAACTACAAATATACAGATTGAGAAAATCAAGGCCGATATCGTTGTTAAATGTAATTTAGCCGATTGCCATGTCTGTTTTTTATTAATATGTAGAACTGATTGCTTATTGCTTGTTATATAATACATTTTGTTATTACATGTCTAAGAACTTCTGTGACAAAAAACCCTCCCCTACTATATTTTAACAGTCAAACGTATCCCTAACTGTGAATCTATGCTGTTAATTTTTTATTTTTTTTTGTAACGGCTTCATCAGACACCAACCGCCCTGCAGCAGTTTAAGACATTAAAAAAAAGACTTTGAGAGAAATTGTCAATCTTCATGCAGATTATCTGGTTTGCATTTGTAGCTCATAAAGAGGCATCAATATTCATTACAGTCTGTTTCACCACCAGTGAAAAACTCCTCACAGGAGCTTTAAATGCACGCTTTGTTTATCAATATAAATAGAAAAATCATTAAGCGCTCGTGTTTTTTCCTACAAAATAAGAACTCTTACAGTGGGCTTAAACATGGGATTAAGAAGCTTGCCGTCATTTAATCAATGAAATGTAATACATATAAATTGGCTCCTGTAGTCGGTTAATGACAAATGATATCCTGATATCTGTCACCAGGGTAAGAATCGTCTGGTGCATTCATCATATTTACTTGAAAACCCCTCAAACTCTTCCTGTAACTCAAACACATCCATGAAACAATTCCACCATAAACCTGACGTTCTCTGCACCCTGCTCATAAAGCCATACCCCCTCCCTCCTTCCTCACACTACATAAAAATATTAACAACCGAATGGAAAGGCCTTCAAGCTGTGTGATTATTTCCTAATGGCATGAATGCATTAAACTCTCTGCCCCCTCCTTGGCGTTTTCCTTTATGCTGCATGAATTCAAATACGAGATGGTCATTAATTCCTTTTTAGAGAAGCACAAGACAGGAGGATTTCAAAATGCATGCAGTGAGTGCGTACAGGGGAGACGAAGGTTAAGAGGTTAGGTGGGGTCGAGCAAAACAAAATCCCTTAGAGATGTATCCTTCACACACAGACCCTTTTTAGTGCCCTAAATAACAAATGAATACAGATAAACTATGACCTGCATCAACTGTGGCCAACTTTTAGTTCTTTGTCATCACTTTTATACTTTTAAAACAAACCAGCTGTTATCTTTGACGTCACAGGGCTTTCAAAGTTTATTGTTTTTTTCCCCTCTACATGTTCCAATGTGTGATATGATCCCCTCCTTTTTTTTTATGCGCCATAACCTTTGTTGACATTTTGATGGAATAAACCCCATGTAAATAAATAAGGAGCAGCAGCATCCAATGAACGGCATACTGAGCTCAATGTAAACCAATGGCTACATCTAGTGGTCACTTCTTGCAACTGCAGCTCTCACACCTCACTCGACAGAGCAATAAAGTAGGAAAATGGGATTAAAACAAAAGAGAAATTTCGCTGTATCATGCGTGAAAATTAGAGGTGAAGCAACGCAGGTTGTTGCAGTGTTTGTATGGTGTGGTGTGAGTTCTCCTCACCTTACAGGAGGTGGCCAGCAGGGAACCGTCCTGTTTCCAGCTCAGACTCTGCAGCTGGTCACTGTGCTGCTCCAGGACTGTGAACACACACACGTCGATCAGAGAGGAAGGTGAATAGAGGAAAGGACTAAGGGACATCTTGAATAAGGTTTAGAAAAAGAGGAACCGATGCAACACAGTGTGAACACAGAATGATGACACATGTACGGACAAGACACAAATGAAAGAACATAAAAAATGTAAGAGAGAGAGAGAAAAAATGCAGGGAGGAGATGAAGCCATAAATCAAGCAAAAAAAAGTTATTAAATAATAATACAGCATACATAGGATTTACAACTAACAATGAGTCATATCAGAGAAATGAAGAGCGTGACACATATAAAGCCGCAGTGCTGTAGGTGAGCACAGCACGAGTGATTTTTTTCAGTTTGACACCAAACAGATGAATAAAGAGGAAAAGTGCACGTATGAACTGAAACCCAAACATCACTGAAACACACATTTTTAAAGTTCAAACATTGTCCCTCAGTCACATATTAATGAGGAATGAGGGTGATGAAAGCTGGTGTGTGGGGGCACAGCGGAGCGCATGAAGAGTTGGATCAGCAGTGAGCAGCAGCCAGGCCAGCTGTCATGGACTTTGGGTAGGGGGGCAAAGTGTTTGTGGTTTGTGGTTGTGGGTTGGGGGGAGGGGGGAGTTGATGCCAGAGGATAGTGTGATCACATCCTGAGGCCAGTCTGTGGAGACCGGGACCAGGACTGCAAAACCAAAACATTACCTCTGCTGCTCCGACCCCACGGAGCCACAGGGCTGAAAAACGTAGGCAGGGTCAGTCAGACAGTCCCAGACGAACAAAAAAGAAGCACTTCACTCAACTCCACATTTATAAACTCATAAAACAAAACAGGCCAGAACGGAAAAAAAAAAAACCTTAAGACTTACTGACAGAGACTGAAATGTTAGATGTAATCGACAGTGCATGATGTACAACAAAGACTTGGACAGAAATAACATTCAGTGTTTCAATCTAAACTGTGCACACAAACAGATGTGTTCCCACATGTGGCACTCGCTTAGCTACCTGCCAGTGGCGCATCCTGGCGGCTGGTGTCCCATATCAGGGGCGACTTGTTGGCGCCGACAGCCAGCACGCCAGAGGAGGTGGGATGGAAAAGCACCAGCTCCAGCCTGCCGTGACCCGGATGCAGGGTGAGCTCTGGACTGCTGGGCTGCTGCAGCTCTGGATCGCACAAACGCCACAGCTTCACCTGAGCACACAGACAGAGGGAAATCTCTTTTACCACACCTTCCAATTCAGTCCCATTCTACCTCCTACCTTTGGTGGAAATATGCTCAAATCTCAGTGAATGTCTGCTCCTTTGAACGTTAAAAGACAAAGGAATGATCGCTGTGCTGTGACAGCTGTTCTTTAAAAAGCCACATCAGACAAGTCAGCTGGTATTTCTGGATGTAATGAGATCATTTCAGTCAGTAAAAACACATTCCCTTGATCATATTTCACACGTTCACTCATTTCCACTTTAATTTATTTGCTTAACACTGCTCAGTATGGGAAACTAGATTCCCTGTTGGACAAGGATGAGAGGAATCGGTCGTGTGCTGCAAATTCCAGGCACTGCAGAAACCGTTGTGTGTGTGTGGATATAGGTTTGTGAGTGTTAACACAGGCTGTGGAGGTTAACCGAGCTGCTGAGTCTGAAGATGCAGAACCAAACTCAGCAGATTCTTGTAAGCTCGGACACCTGTGGCTGAGGATAATGTGCTGAAACGAGGGAGTCTTAAAAATGTTTTAAAATAAGATCAGAAGCCGGGCCAAGAGGCACAAAGCCAGAGAGGATTTATATACGTTTAAAAATAAGAAGATAATGGGGCGCGCTGGTGGCGCAATGGTTAGGGCGCACGTCCCATGTGTTGAGACTCTCGTCTCGAGCGGTAGGCCCGGGTTCACTTCCACCCGCGGCCCCCTTCCGCATGCCATTCCCCACTCCCCTCTCCCTGGTTTCCGACTCTATCCACTGTCCTCTCTCTGCATTAAAGGCACGAAAAAGCCCAAAAAAAATATCTAAAAAAAAAAAAAAGAAGAAGATAAAACAAGATCAATACTGATAATGACAGAGAGAGGAAGGAATGAAAGAGCTCACCGTTTCATCACTGGAGCATGTCACCAAGAGACTTTCATCAAAAGGAGAGAAGTCCATATCAGTCACCAGATCTGACAGAGACGAGCGGAGACATGACGGAGAAAAACAAACACAAGTTAGTTTCATTTCTCAGCTGTGAAAGATACAAATCTGGAAGCCATATTTGATGCAGATCTTTGTTTTGATTTAATCTTGAATATACTGTCAGCTCCTGCTTCTTCCATCTCAAACACATTTCCAAAATGAACTCATTCCTATCTCTCTTGATTTGCACAAAGTTAAACGTGCTTTTATTTTTCCTTGTTTAGATTATTGTAACGCACTTTGAGTGTGGTATCAGTCAGACTCCAGTTAGTTCAGAACTAGAATTTATCAGGGACCCACAAATAGAATAGAAGTTTATTTATGAAGCACATTTAATTACAGGTAAGCTCAATGTGCTATACATTGAAGATAAAAAAAAAAGAAAAATGGAATACAAGAGACAAAATAGCTGTCTCAACAATCATGAATATGATACAAATATCAAATTAGGAACGTCCTCAGTTCTTTTGTTTAAGATTAATTTTTGGGCTTTTATGCCTTTGTTAGAGAGACAGAACAGAGGGTAGAGACGGAAATCAGGCCAATCATCAGAAGAAAAAACTACCTGAATGGCAGGAGATCTGGGTGAGCGTCCATTGGCCATCTGAAGCAGGTTTGACTGAGGACAGGCCCAGTATGCATCCACCTGCAGAAAGATGCACAGAAAATCTTCATTCATCACACTGCTCGCACTCATTAACGTAATACTGTGAAAAAATAAAAACTTTATTTATAAAGCACTTCTCCACAAGTTACAAAGTCCTTCTCCATTAAAACAAGGCAAATACGTAAAAGTAAATACACAAATAAGAAAACAAATAAATGTAATAGATAAATAAAACACCAAATATCAATCAATAAAAAGCCAAATAGATTAATTTAAAAAAAAACGTGGTGAAAAATAACAATAAAGCCAACAGTTTAAAAAAGCATGTTTTAGAAAAGTATTTCCTTTGCATTTTTTACATTCTCAGCTTCTTAGATGTAGACATGTGGCAAACAGAAAAGTATGGTGCTGAAATCACAACAGTGGATTCTTCTGTCTACATGAAGCAGACATTATTTTCACTCTCTCTCTCTCTCTCTCTCTCCCTCCTCTCTCTCTTTACTTACCGGCCTGCTCGGTGTTGAAAACCACAAACTTGGAGCTGGCTTTGATGTGGTTCCCCTGGGAGGAGAAGGAACCAGCTCGGACATTGTTGATCCATCCCTTGATTTAAAGACACAGAACACACTTATGAGGGATTAAAAAACAAACAAAGGATGAAGTGTTGAAACAGATCACAGAATGATGGACATGAAAAATGACTACAATCCTCAGTGCTGATGGAAGATAGAATTGTTTTTAATTTGTCATTAGTTCTTATTTCACTTTTTGTTTTCAATGTCAAAGCTGGTTTGTTTGTTTAGTTTAGTCTTTATTTTATTATTTTTATTATTATTATTATTATTTTATTAAGGAAAATGTTTCTGACAATAGTGTTCCTTCTTTCCTTAGTTTTTGTTAAGGATAATGACCTCGGGAAAAAAACAACAGAACTTTCTCATATTGTTACAAAGAGCACAAGTGAATAGTCTTGGCTGGAATGAAATAAATGAAATAAATAAAGTGAGCTACGGATTAAACAGGAAGGATCTGGCTGGGAGCGTGCACACATAAGTGCTTCTGAATGAGCCAGTGTCGAGGAAGTGGAAGGGCTCCCTGCGTCGCACAGCAGACGCTCTTAAAACCTCTTTCATAAGTTTAACAAGGCAAAGGCAGCGAGAGGACAGAGTGTTCAACATACTGCTGCGCTACTCCTCCGAAAAACTCTCAGCGCTGTTTGAGGGGCCGAACGTGGAGCTGCAGGAGGGCACTTAGCAGTTGAAACAGCTCTGCTGGGAATAATGCAATACTTCCTTTATTTATGCACTCATGTATTGAAAGCACAGTAAAGAAGCATGCTTCTATTATGGCAGGATTACATTTTCTGCATGTGCATCTTTAAATGCAAACATATGACTGTGGTGTGACAGAAGCTGAGTCCTATACCACTGACTGATTTATTCTGAGATAGACGTGAAGAATGTTATAATTATTATAATAACTCCCAGGATTAAAAATCATTACCTCCACCATTGGTGCATAAGAGTCTTTTTCTACTTTGTATACAAATTATACATTTGACCATGACTGTGAACATTTAGGGCTATTTGACTCTAAAGGAAAGTCCAAACTCAGGATTGTCTTCCCTTCATAAATCCACTTGGATGATGGTGTATGAGGTCTGTGATGTTTTTTTCTGTATTTGGGTGTTTTTCCAAGGTTTACAGAGTCAGTCTGAACAACTTCTGTTGCTAATCCATGAACAAATCCATGATCAGAAAGAGGTTTGGCACCAAAAAGCGTGCTCACCAGCCAAATAAGATTTGACTAAATGAATACCCAAACCACTCCTGTGACTACTAACGTAAACCAAGTGGAAAAGTTCAAACTTTTCTGAACAATATGAGTAGAAAACAACTCGGTCGTCTTTGGTTTGGTGTGCGTTTCTAGCCCCATGAGTCTGCTTCTCTCCCTTCCTGCTCCTGTCCCCGATTTCTCTTTTATATAATGTTTGATGACATGACAGCTCCCTCCATCACATGACTCCAGCCACACTCACCCACATTCACTGGCCTGTTAACATGCACAGCAGCAAAGCACCACCTGCTGTCTAAGATGTGTGCAGAGATTGGAGAGACACCAATAACATCCAATATCTCTGGACATGCCAGACATTTTCCTGCCTCAGTAAAAACAAAGTGTGTGTGTGTGTGTGTGTGTGTGTGTGTGTGTGTGGGGGGGGGGGGTTACATAATCCACCTCAGCAAGGAGAGCTGCAGGCGTTGCAACTTCAAGCAGATGGGTCCAGAGCAGAGAAGAAGAAAAATGACAGATTTGTATGCAAGACACTGCAGTGCCGTCCAGACATGTCGCCTCTTGCAGCCTACAGGACAACCATCACTCAAATACAAGAGGAACTATTGCTGAATTCACCTTTCAAATCGTTATCTTTCCTTTTTACTGACAGAGTAAGTCTGTGCAGAGCAAACACAGCTCCGTCATAAACCGTGCAATACACCACATGATGTTTTAGAAGAAAAGGGAAAAACTAGGTTAGCATTGCTGGAATAGCATGGTGATGGGCGTCACTACAAATTCCGAAGAGGGTTAGCAGCTCTCTTCACCCACATGGCTGACAGCACATAGTTCGTGTGAACACTTGTGAGTTGGTTCGTGTAGTTCTCTTATTACTATGCAGGCTACCAGATGCAGGAAGTTCAACATCCCTTGCAAGGCAGGCGTTCCCCCAAAACACCACTTAACCAGCAGAGCTCATAATAACCAAAGCTAATGTTAGCAAGACAAGACTGGCAGGCGCTCGGCAACTACTCACATCTTTCTTGGCAATGCTCGGTGTGGTGTTTTTGAATTTGGAGGTCTTAAAGCGATTCATGCTGCCCTCTCAAATTGACTTTCGTGCCTTCCGGGTGTCTCTGTCGAGCTGGTTGGTACTCAGCAAAGAGAGAGAGAGAGGACTCCTGCTATAGTTGACAGTTCAGTTTTAGTCAGCTGGTGTTCGCTCGCTTTGCTCCACCGAGCTGCCCTCGTGGGCGGTGTCTCACGTTAAAAAGCTCGTGAAAACACCGCACTGTCTCGCGCTACCCCGGGTCATAAAACACGTGCACCGATATTTTACTTGACACTTCTGATACTTGTCCACGCAATAACACTAATGCTTCAATTCGCCAAGGCATTCCTATTCCTATTGTTTGTCTGTAGGTGGCGCTTGTGTTGAGTTTATAACAGGAACATTAACATTTAGGACTGGAGTTCAGCATCTCGTTTTTCTCAGGAGTGCATCCTCTTGACTCAAACAAAATATCTTTGCGTCTTTGATTACGCCCACTGTGTCGCAAGGCGCATGCGCAGTGAGCCTGGGGTATAGCTTCTTGTGGAGGAAATGATGGCGTCGTCGGCAGCCCGCTGTTCCTCACGCTGGATTACAGTTTTCGTGTCCTCTGGACGACGCAGGGCCGCCGGTGCGGTTGTCTGCGCCGGGCACGGAGGAGCTCGCAGTGTGTCGACCCTGGGAGGGCAGAAACTGTGGCGGGGAGGGAACCTGATGTGTGGAGGAGCCGGGAAAGCGTTGACATTGAGAGGACTGTCAGGTGAGGTGGTGTGTTACCCATATGGCCTAGGCTAGGCTAAGCTAGGCGTCTACTTATATGATACGATGTGATATAACTACATTATCTCAGCTTGATTAAGGCTAAATCGAGCAGTACAGATGTTATGAACTTTGTTTTTTATGCTTGCAGAGATAGAAATGTGATGCAGTCAGTTTGGCTAACTGGTTTGCAGCCATTAAGTTGGAACTTGCAAGGTGTGGATACCACAGATCCTGTTCTTTCTCTCTCCTGGAGTCAGTATTAGTAGTAGTCTGTATTTTCTAACTTGTTTTGTTGCCAACAACCAGCTGTTATTGCTATTGGTAGAGCGACAAGTACATTATCACACAGTAAGTACATGATGTCCAGCTTTGTTTCCAGAACCTTCTTACAACTTCATCAGATATTCACCAGTTTACAAAGACATGAAGCCTCAGCAATACAGACATGCAAAATGAAATACCTTTCTATTGACAAACATCTAATTTAATAAAATATAAGTAAAAACAAGTTACTAACACCTTTCGACTGTCATGGCGTCTGTTTACTTACCCTTGTACCCTGTTTTACACTTTTCAGCTCTCAAATCCCCACATGCTGTCGGCACTCTGTCCTTTCACACAAGTGCCCCCGCTAGCAGCAAGCAGGACTTCTACCAGGTCCTGGGCGTACCCCGCTCAGCAACCCAGAAAGAGATCAAGAAAGCCTACTACCAGGTCTGCTCCCGCCTGTCGTCACGCGTCCACAGCTCGGGTTGGCTCTCAGATAACCAATGGCCGCAGTAGTTGACAGCGTGTTTGTGTTTGTTGTCCCTCAGATGGCCAAAAAGTATCATCCTGACACCAACAAAGAAGACCCTCAAGCCAAGGAAAAATTTGCTCAGCTGGCTGAAGCTTATGAGGTTTAGTGTCCGTCTTTATCTAAGCTCACGCTGATATGTCCCCCCCTGTGTGTTCTCCTCATAGTCTATGGACTGTTACAGCTTCAGGGGATTAAATAATGAACCTCCGCTTCCATGTTTCTCTCAGATCCTTAGTGATGAAGGAAAGAGGAAGCAGTACGATACATATGGCTCGGCAGGCTTCGACGCTGGTCAGGCCGGCGGAGGGCAGCAGTACTGGTCAGGGCAAGCCCAGAACGTAGACCCAGAGGAGCTCTTCCGGAAGATCTTTGGGGAATTTTCTGGAGGCAGAGGCTTTGGAGACTTCAACGCCATTTTTGATCAGCCACAGGAGGTATGTTGTACACACATCTGGTTCCCATTTGGCTATATCTATTGGTGCATGCTCAGATTCAGAATGATGAACACATTTCAACCCTCCTCTTTATTTTGTTTGACACAGTACTTCATGGAGCTGACATTTACTCAGGCAGCAAAAGGGGTCAACAAAGAGATGTCTGTTAACATCGAAGCAGCCTGCCAGCGCTGTGATGGAAAAGGCCACGAGCCCGGCACCAAGGTCGAGCACTGCCACCACTGCAACGGCTCGGGCATGGTAAGCGCTCGGAGACGCCGCTTCTTTTTGTGTTGTCAGCAACCATTAATTCATATTTCTGTTGTATAAAAACAGCAGATTTCAGAGGGTTCTAATGAACTTCCGAGCTTCTTTTTTTTTTTTTAATCTTCCACTCATCTCCAATCTGTGTTCGAATTTCTGCAGGAGACGGTGAACACGGGCCCGTTTGTGATGCGCTCCACATGTCGTCGCTGTGGCGGCAAAGGCACAGTCATCTCCTCCCCCTGTCACTCCTGCCGCGGGACGGGACAGACCAAGCAGAAGAAGACTGTGATGGTCCCTGTGCCTGCAGGTCAGTCTCTCCTGAGAGCGTGTTAATAAGCACAAACATGATTCAGTCAGTGATTTAATTTTATTCAGCATTTATACAAAATTGCATAAAAATACATGCATTGTTGAATATCATTCATAATTTGGATGCCAGCTCATAGATTTCACTTGTTGACCGGGTTTCTTTTTTAAATGCGCAGTAATCGCAGCGGTATTTTACTGACAAAATATGTTTCTCAGCCAGAATTCCAAAATTAGAGTAAAAATCATTTTAATGTTCAGGATAAACCTACAAATTTTCCTTGCATTTTCCTAAAAACTTAACAGACTGAAACTGAAAAAGAGTACTGTATTTGATACATGCATGTTTGAGAAGAGTTTGATCCTTCACTGTAGGTTGATCTGGAGGTTTAGGCTCAGAAATAAAAAGAACATTCTGAGGATAAATAAAGCAGATAATGCTGAAATCAATCAATAATTTCTCATATCGAAGGACAGGATCAGCCGGCACAGACTGAAATGTACCATGATGGGAGGTTTCAACCAATCAAAGCGACTAAAACATGTAATGTAGCTGCTGCTAGGCTAAATAGCTGGTTTGAACCTTCTATGAACAGGACTTCTAGTTAAAGACGATAGACTTGTTGGCATGATATTTGTGTCATGTGAATGATTACAGCTAATACTGACACAGTAGGTGAGTCACATCAGCAGCAGCCATGTTTGTTGTTTTGGAATAAAAGCAGGGCTTTAACCTGCCCCATATAAGATAAACAGTTGTTACTGACCCAGCCTGGATCAAGCTGACCAGAGATCTGTCTGAAGCAGAGAGGAAACAGATACCTTAGCTGCAGAACTGGAACAGTAGATGATGTTTTTTTTTTTGTTTTTTTTTGTTTTTTCACTTCAGGTCCTAATCAACAAACTGTTTTTTTTGTTTCTCTTTTTCTTGAAGGCGTGGAGGATGGTCAGACAGTCAGAATGCCAGTCGGTAAGAAGGAGGTCTTCATCACATTTAGGGTGAGTATCTTCACTGCTTATTTAGGATGTAGATGTGATACAAATGGATACCAAGAGGTGCATGTTCACCTCAGAGCTGAGATCATTTATGTATGTTTGTTGAAGTCAGTGTTGAGACAAGCTAAAGGCTGAGCTGACTGAGTTCTTTGACTTCAACCTTTTTTATAACGTCTTAAAATCTTATGTTTTATAAACGTTGATTGTGACGTTTTTTTTTTTTTTTCTGTGTGCAGGTCCAAAAAAGTCCAGTGTTCAGGCGGGAAGGCGCAGACATCCACTCTGACCTTTTAATCTCTGTGGCACAAGCTATCCTGGGCGGCACGGCCCGGGCACAGGGCCTCTATGAAACACTAAATTTATCAGTAAGGAGACATGTACATTCAGAGGCTTCACCTCTCAAGGGAAAACATTTCAAAATATAAATGAAATGAGAAATGACTGGAATGTGTTTGTGCTCAGATCCCTGCAGGCATCCAGACTGACCAGAGGATACGTCTGGGGGGGAAGGGAATCGCCCGTGTCACTGGCTATGGCTTTGGAGATCATTATGTGCATGTCAAAATTAAAGTACCCAAGTAAGACTCCACTCAAGGACATTTTGATCGGTTATAAATTGACTGATGAAGAAATTGTTTTCCAATCACAACGATCACAAAGCCTTTGTCTTCATGTGCAGGACACTCACAGACAGACAAAGAAGTCTGCTCATGAGCTACGCTGAGGACGAGACGGACGTGGAGGGGACGGTGAACGGGGTCACAGCCACCACTACAGGTAAGAGGACAAGCTCCCTGACTTTATTCTTCTTACCTCACTCTATCTATAGAGGCCTCTTTATACATCTCTGATCTACTGAAGTGGGGTTTTAGGAAAGGAATCTGTACTTGGTTGCAAGCCTGGCTGATGCAGTGTTCATCTCTGTCCAGGTGGGGGCAGCAGTGGTAAGCGGTCTGAAACAGGGCAAAGCGGGCATGACGAGAAAGAAGGAGATTTGAAACAAGAGGGGGGCTTCTTCTCCAAATTAAAGGGATTGTTTAGTTCTTCATGACAGCCACAAACCAGGTAGGACTGGTTTTGATTTACCTCCCCAGTTCCACTTTTCCTGTCTCGTCCTTCACAGATAAATGATACAACACTCTGTATTTATGAAGCACTTTGAGTTATCTGGTTTGTGGCTGTCACTTTAAACCTTCATGCATGTCAGTCTTAGGTTTCCAGATTGTCTGCTCAGAGTCTTTTCTATGTTTTGTTTCTTCGGTTAGAGCTGCCTCTACAGTAGACCTGCACGGTATGAGAAAAGTATGACATGATGCGATATCATTGGTCAATATCACGTTAGTAATATTAAAATGCAACAAACAGATATGAAAGACTACAACTGAGTATCTATATCAGTTTTCACTCATGCACTCCTGAAAGTTTCAGGACAGGCTCCGCTGAAATCTTCCTGACTTGCCTGTTCACACATGATGCATCTCACAGCGGGAGACTTTCCCTGAAACATGGGAGGGGGTGCGGTCCCCCTCAATGCTACTTGTAATTGGATGTATTCACATTTTTCTTTCTTTCACACATGCAGCTCACCCCAAAAATGTCATGAAATGTTCAGGAGTGTTTGTGTATGTCTGAAAACGCCATATGTCTCTCTGCTGTTCTTCATGATTTACACAAAAGAACACAGGTTTGCAATTTGTCCCTCCTTAATCCAAAAATAAATAAATACCCTCCATCTAATAGATCAAATGTTAATATAAGTGAGAAAGCTTTGCTTACTCACATCAAATCATTGTTCTTCTCTTCATGTCTTGTGTGACGTGTTTATTGCAAATGCTCATATATTGCATTAATGATGAGTTTGGGGATTAATTGTGCAGACCAAGACAAATTCCTATCAACTGTATTGTTGAAGTGGCTCTTAATAAACTTGAACTTGAACCTACTTAACAGCTTTATATTTGTCCTTTCTCTGCAGGTAAAAGATCATCCTGGAACTGAGAAGCTTCGTTAGTAGGCATAAGGGAGGACAGAGTGAATCAAGAAGCAGCCACTTTATGAAGCGACAGGCGGTAAGAGGAGTGTTTGGAGGAGGCTTGCAAAAGGTTCTGGTTGGATCAGTGAGGACCTAACTACCCACACAGCCCTGCAGTGAACAAGGCACAACATAACCTGCTCCGTGAATCCACATATATGAGGACTTTTCCAGGCGTGCCAGTCACTTCTCCGTCAACAAAGACTTCTATCATTTAACGTAGCAGTAAGTGCATGATGGTTTTCTGTCAATCCTGAAAGAAAAACAGAATCCAAAGTGCTCAGAAATTAATTATTGTATGAAAAAAAAGACTACAAATGGATACAGTCAACAGTTCTATCCGGGATTAAATGAATCCCTTCCAGTCATCAATCCTTTTTTGGTTCTGTATGTTTTGGTTGTTTTCTTTCCCTCCAATGGACGCTGCTTACAGGTTGAACATCACCGGAGAACATGTTTACCTCTCTGTGTAGCTGTTACAGATTAAATCTGCCTCTGTGGAGGATAGTGTGACTCCCGTCTTCGAGGACTGAACTGTGTGAAGTTAACATTCTTGACGCTGTCCTTCCTTTAGCTCCTTTGCATTGTGCACCTTCATCATATTTGTACATAGACACCTGTGGATCATCTGACTTTATCAATCTGTCACATATACTGTACATCGATAATAAAACTATGGTCTGCCAAAATCCATTGTTTTAATATAAATCTCTGTGGAGGAAGCAGAATACTCAGACTTCATCTAGGGCTAACTATATTATACATTTTCTAGATTTATTCATGGGTGTCTGTTTGTACCTTTATGGGAGAGACAAGACAGTGGATAGTTTAAGAGTGGGAAAAGGAACCACAGGTCAGATTTGAACCCAGGCTGTCCGCTTGAAGGTCTATGGCCTCTATACAATGGGCGTGCAAACTAACACTCAGCCACAGGCGCCCCAAATGTTTCTATATATTTTGTTCACCAATGATCCATAATAAACTGAAAGCTAAAAAACAAACTGCTGCCAACAAACTCATAAGATTTTAACACACAGAGGTAAAGTAGTCTTTTTTTTTTTCGTCATTGGGTTATCTCAGAAACTAGCCTGTGTTTTTCATTTTCAATAAAAATAATGTTCCTGTCACATTCTTTCTACAACTCTTATTTGTCTATCAAGTCATTAACAGAGGGCTACTGCATGTGAGGTTTTCAGCTAATGCTAACTTGGCTACAGTTACAATTCTGTAATATTTCATTGTAGCATGCGAGCATTGTCATTTTCCATTAAGTACAGAATTTACAGTCCAGATGTAGCAGATGAAAGTTGAATCAGTGTGCAAGTAAGAGTTCTCAAACCGAGGAATTAAACAAATGGTCTCTACAATAAAGCACGACTGGAACGTGGTGGTCTTCACCTACTTGTAAGGCTCTCCATTCAATATTTCTCACAACAAATGACAAAGCTCTGCTAGAGGATATGACACAGAACATATGAGGTATACATTTAGGATAATATTGAATGTGATCAAAAACACCAGTCTGAATTTATCATCTTTATTTCAGTATTAGCAGAAAAAAAAAAACATTTTACAGCACAGCCTCAAGTCATGGATGTTCACTCATACCGTGAAGGCATACGAGCCGATCACGTCTAACACTTTGTGTCCAGGTGGATAAAGAAGGTACAGACGCAAAGAACGGCCAACTTTACAATGATTTTCTATGCCGCTATCTCAAGGTCACAACCTAATGTGAGAAAACAAGCTTAGTTTTTATCCTGATAACCAAATGAGCCAAGTCTCTCTACGTACGGTTAGCAGGGATCACATGCTATGCCTGCATGCATAATGGCCATCTTGACTACTGTGGCACCAGATCTCAGCTGAATATGTTGGATCAAGGAGTATTTTTTTAACCGATCAATGCAGAACACTGACAGTCATCACAGTCATCTTAAAGCCTTCAATCAGAGGTGGTCACATTCACCAAAAACAACTTTTCATGCTCTCCTTAGTCATCCAGTGATCTTAAGAAAGCACAACGTCATCTTCTGGTGATGGATTACCTCATCAGCTTAGATAATCAAGCTTCCGTTTACCAATTTTGTAATCTTGACGAAGCAATGAACTTGTGATCTGGAGATAACAAACTTAAGAAATGTATTGCAACACAGCTCTTTCTCAGCATTCGTAAACAACAGGAGAAGGGGCAGAGTTAATGAAAATGCATAAGAATTAAAAAATCAACATGGCTTAGTCACACATCCACTCACTTGAGTTTAAGGATTTACCATACTCGATGATTAAAAGGTTTCTGAACTTCAAAAATTCAAGTAAGGGTCCCTTCATATCTGCAAAACGCTGTGGCTTTTTGACACATCACATTTGAAACATGTCATAAAACATGGCTATTCAACAACAGGAGAATACTAGGACAGCCCCTGTTATCATCTTTTTATATTCAATGCATTATATTACCATCTGACCTGAGACTCTCAAATACAAACACGTCATGATGTCATGACAACAGCTGCACTACGGCACTTAATCCTGATGAAAATGGGCTAACGGGGGAATACTGCACATTGAAAAAGAAAACACAGGAACCTGGTGGAATTGTTGCTCTCAGTAGGTTTCTTTTTGTACTCTGAGTCCAACAAACCAAAGGGGGGAAAACACAAACTACTTTGCAAGATAAAGCAAAGTTAATTATTTTCTGTGACTGTGTGAGGAGAAATATTAAAATTTAATGCAATTACACCTCATACAGCACAACAGCACAAAAAAGTTCTCCTAATCCTTTGTGAAAAACAAGAAATGTGCACGACTGGAACCGTTTTTACAACAAACAGTATGAAAAGTATATGAATAAAACAGAGTTTAGTGAGGATCCTATAGAGACACTACCCAACCTGAAGTCATCATAGGAAGCATTTCACCTCCATGTGGATAATTATTCATACTATAAAAAATATATTTTCCTTTGAATACAGCTGCAGCTCACCTCTGGTAACACTTATGTCCTAATATAGGCTCCTGAATTTGTCATGGATAATCAAGCTGTGCAGTTTTGTCTTTTTTTAAAGGAATACAAGATGCCCTATCGCAAGGTTTAAGAATAAGTGACCATGCATCAGATTCATATGGCAGTTATCTTCACAACTACCTAAATTCTTTTTATTGAAATCATGCACTTGTGTATGTGTAGGTGTGCTATTTGGGGGCAAAAGAAAATCTTTTGATGCCTATGACCTGTTTCACAGAACACACGTTTGCTTTCTTTCCTGAAATGCTGGGCACTGTATGTTCACATTATGTTTTTATATATATAGAGACATTTCCTAAGTTAAAATTACAAGAAAAAACAGTTTTGTAGTTGCATTATTACCACAAACATTACTTTTTGCTGCTTGAAATTATGGTAATGGTGACATAAAACATTTCTGAATTATCAAAATAATTTATGCAAAAACACCCAAGGCCTTATTTGAAATCCACACAGCAGTCTGTCCAGCAAACACTCACTGTGCTATTATAATCATGCATAACATGCGCATAGTATTTTAAAACAAGCTGCATTGACTTAGCTCACCGTGAAATGATTTCTAAGTTTCATGTATTTGGTTTTGCAGAATTAATACACAGATCGCATGTAAAAGCTACTTAGCTGTGTAACTCTGGCAGTTAATTAAAAGAATGAGAATAAATCTAATTAGCTATTCACACCATGAACTTCAATTGCAAAATCAGGAAACAACTGCAGAAGGTCCTGAAACTTGACCAACACACTCGAAAGGACCAAATGGAGGGACAGCGCAGAGGAGGTAGAGAAGTGTAAAAACTACAGGGAGAGTATGTAACAATGAATTACTTGATGAGTCGGTGGATGGATGGATGCATGGATGGTAGATAGATGGATGGAGTTTACATCCTTATGGTCCTAAGGGGAATGCTTCATTGGAATTCCACTGATAAACAATCCATGTTTATTTCCTGTCATCTACCCTTTATGACGAACATGTGACTAAAATAAACCTGGACCCATTCAGAATCTTTTTATGGAACCATGAGCACAGTCTGAGGGACTTTCTTGGTCTCCTTACTGTCCTTCCTTTCGATGCTTCTCCCCCCCTCTCTCTTACAGCAGCGGAGTGACAGGGTGACGGCCGGATCACATCAAATACCACGCAGCCAATCCAGCAAGAGCAGCAAACCACGTGGCGAACAGGACTTGTCCTGTTGGGTGTCGGAGCACAGCCATGGCGAGCTGACAGGCGTATGCTGATCCACCTGACGCCGCTGTGACAGTGAGAGAACAATAAAGTGAAAAAGTTCATTTAAAATACACTCACATAATTTTCAATTGTTGAAACATTGGCTTCTAGGTGCGTTATAAAAGCATACCCATTTTGGCATTATAGTAGGGACACTTGCTGATGTCTCCACCTGTTGCTCCATGGACGGGCATGCCAGCATCCAAAACATCCTCCTGGATGGATTTACCCATCTCTTCCAACTCATCAAACACCTACAAAACAAAAAACAGAGTGTTAAGAAGTTTTTTCACATACTCAGTACACTGGAACGGCTTCATGTATTAGGCAACCAGACACGAATGAATGGTTTTGACTAAGTCAGCAAAGCTGATGCCTGGAAAATCGCAGAGTCATCATTAATCACAGACGCTGTGGTAACATAAAGCATTTCTGATATACGATGTTCAAAATTGTCCACAGGGGCTGAACACTCCTAGTTATTTGGTAGAAGAGGGTGTGACAAAAGACTTACCTCTTCTTGGCTGACCATTACACATTTTCTTATTGCTTAAAGGTATAACAATCCCAACAGGTGTCATCGTCTTTCCATGAAAGTGCTTAACAAACTATGACAGATACCAGATTTGTTTTTATCTTTTTGTCAGGGTATTAGGAGATGCATTTCAGTAAATATAGAAATGTAAAAAAATGTATCTTCACTATGTCTTTAAAAACCTCAATAAATAGTTTAACAGCCTCAAAATACCTTTACTTTCACCTTTACCGCAACCACTTCATCATCACCTCCAGGGAACAGATCGCCCACTGGTGTTTCCAAACTTAGCTTGTGTTTCTTCTATTCTCTACCTCAATTCCTTCTCCCTGGCCTCTTACCTCCATGTTGAATTGGAAAGCCTTGACAGCCTCGGCTACGAGCTTCTTCTTTGTTTCCACGTCCAGTTCGAGCTCGTTCATCCGACTGCGGTACAGCTGCTTGAATGCTTTGGCACTATGGATGGCATCAAACTGATAGAATTCAAGGCCCTCGCCTGTGGACGGCAGCTTCAAGGCTCTCTGGGCCACTTTTTTCAGCACCTGGCCTCCAGACAGGTCCCCCATGTAGCGGGTGTAGGCATGAGCTACTAGCAGCACTGGGTCTTCCTGCCCGACTTCATGAATACGGTCCACATACCGTTGTGTGGCCTGAGAACATTTGACCTGGGTCTCCCAGTCAGGACCATAAAAGTATTCAAGGTCACGGGCCAGGTTCTCATGACGGTTCAGCTCTGCTGGGAAATATAGAGGGGCAAAGTGGGGGTGGTCTTTGTTCCTTTCAATTTCATCCTCCATGGCAGAATAAGTATAATAGAGTGCAACGGCACCAAGCTGGGGAAACAAAACAACAACAGAAAAGAAGAAAAGTTGAAAATGACATTTAGCAGGTACCTATGTCAATAAAATGTATTCACTCATTTTATTGTAAAAAGGTTTTTCCTTCACTTTACCACTGACCTTGAAAAGCTCTTTTCTGATGCGACCCCTGAGGAAATCTTTCACGAACTGTGTGTTCTCAGCCTTTTCATGGACCTCTTTCGTCCCTGCTGCCAGCATCTCCGACAGGTCGTGGGGACTGAGGAAAGAAAATGTGTTTTCAAGAGAACCACAACTACCATCCTCTTTACTCTTGTATACGTTTACATCATGATAATGATCTTACGATAGCAGTGAGAGGTTTACCTTAGTGTCTCTTTTTTTTCCTCATACACAGGCCCTGCTCCATTGGACACGTTGGCTGTTGACTCCATCTTCTCTGCTGACAGATCTGTTTCTTTTGGTCAGTTTGTTCAGCCTAGAATCAGTGAGATCACACTGGCATTTACATTTAAAGGTATAAAGCATTAGTCACATTAGAGATTCACCAGATTACATCTACTCCACTAAATATTAAAAAAAAAGATCAATGCTGTGACCTACACCAGTTCCTCATGTCTTATGTGTCACTGGAGTGGTGTTAGTGTTACTGGTGTTTAGAATAAACAAGGTAACAATGTCAGGCTGCAGCGTTCCCTGTGTTTCTAGAGCTCTATAAGCAGTACACAGGCACACAACATATACAGTGCTGTGTATAACCACGTTTCATACAGCTTGTGTCAGGTCAAAGCAAAGAGAGAGGCCACAGCACATGAATGTTGACCAAACACGATCAGAGTTTCTTGGCCTTCAAAGTCATCAAGTTAATGCTCAATATAACCACTCCCAAAAACAATGCAAAACAATTGAAAGTCTCTTAGGGATGTTAAGGTAAGTCAATGCTTCCAGCAACAATTCAAAGACAGACAAGCAGTGTATAGTTTCTAAAACACCTTACCAGAGACAGCAGAGGTCTGGAATAAGGGAAGCTGATATCACACACTCCTATTCACTGTGGTCTTTGTCCCTGAGATGATGATACAAGCAGAGATGTCTTCTTTAAGGTAGTCTAGTTGTTTTCAGTCTTGGACCTGGTTTATTATTAGAAGAAGAAAATGCATTGTCAGGGTAAGTAAGTTATTTATATCGCACCCTTCAAGGGCATACGTCACAAAGGGTGAAAGCTAATACAGTGTGGCCTGCCTGTTTGAAGCAGTGCACAGACAAACACAAAGCAGCTCACACAACAAATCACAGGCCTTCTGGCGTTTACCAGAAGTCTGACAGAAGACACACATAACTAGAGATGTGAGGGTTTCACATTTAGACTAGTTTCTCCCTCTGGTCAAAAAAATAACCTTTCATCTGAATGCGAATAAACGCACTCATAACAACATGTGACACTGACGTCATTAAACTATCTAGGAGCTGTTGACAACAGCAGCTAACTTTGCTGGATAACGCTAACAAGCTAAGTTGGCTAACAGCTAGCTAGCATTTCAACAGGCTTACAAACTTAACCTTGACGAGCAGAGATACAACACACCACTGGGGCGACATGTTTATTCTCTTAGCACGTCCACATTAACGGGTTACAAGGCTTTGGTATCATATTGACATGCACAAACCTTCACTCAGCGGCGTAGTTAACTACAAACAATGATAGGTCCAGGACAGAACTGACAAGCTCCGCCCACAACCGGCTGACGGATATATAGGATGCTGCATTCACGTACACTCGGATGGTCCAGTTTCCCGAGTTGAAAAGTCCTTTATCCGAGTGTGTCCTGACCTTACAGTCTATGGTCCTGACTCCGTTGTGCTCACGAGTTTTTAAGGTTTAGTCGAATTAGATCGAAAGAAGAAAAAAAAATCCCACACGCTACTCTCGTTCTGCTTCACAGATTCAGTAGGAAAAAAATCATAAAGTTTGTCAAGCGTGTTCTTAAATATTTTCTCCAACATGACATTGCTCCACCTAATGTTTGTGCTCAGGCACATTTTAGGCTAGTCTAATTAGAAGTGTCTCTCAATCATCAGCAGTAACCGTAACATATGCAGACATTCACCCAAATATCCTATGGAGACCCTGAAGTTCAAAAAGGTAAAAAAAAAAAAAAAAAAAGTGAGATGATAACTTGAGCGCACAATAAAATAACTTGAAGATAGCCCAATTATCTTGTGTGCAAAACATTACTATCTTTTGGTTATTATCTTGTGCGAACAAGTAAGCATCTGTCTTTTGTGCACAACATACACCTGATAACTTGTGCGAAAAACACGATTTTTTACAATTATTTTTTACTTCGGGAAGTTCGGGTAGCCTACCAAGTTGTTCTGTCTTTTTTTCCCAGTCGGTAACTATTTTTTCCGACAATTCTATATCATTTGAATGCACGGGCAGTAAGACGCTTCTCCATAAATGCTGAGTTGGTCAAGTGGTAGTTATCAACAACAAAATTGGTTTACAATTACAACTCTTGTTCTACTCATGCTGCCACTACTATAACCAATACAACTTTATATACTACTACTTTTAATGATCTTACAAATGTATATTATTGCCATATAATTACCAAGATATAACCATGCACCATAACCCTGTCATCATACATATTGATTAAGTATAGACAGTGTGGTGCTGAAATGCAGCTTTGTGCATTTAACTTAAATTAGGGCAAGGGCTGTTTGCTGGATGTTGGAGCCAAAGGGTTAAAAGGTAACAAAAACACTTGATTATAAGAGCAAGCTCAGAGTTCTTCACAAATACACGAAGTCATCTGCAGTATCACTGAGGGGGTCTTACCATTCACGACCTTATAACAGTTACACAAAATATACCCAAATAAAGATTTGCTAATAAAAACTAAACAGAGATCTTAAAATGTACTCATATTGCTAAAATCCTTCGAGTGGAGACTAGAACCCCTTGCATAACCCCACATGGCATTGTAAAATAATCCTGCTGGTGATTTGTTGTTCTCATATACTAAATACAATATTATATGACGCATATAATACACAAATATAATAAAGCAATAATAAAGCAAAAAAAAAAAAGTCATGTAAAATGTCTGATAACTTGATTGTACCTTGGAAACTGATTGTTAAGAAGGGTTCAAATTTGAGGTGCTATCACCATGGGGCATCGGGTCAGGATGCAGGAATCCAACAAGACTTGATTTTTATTTAACAGGTTTATTTCTTTTCAAGTTAGGTGAATCATAAGGGTAACATAAGACACACATGGGATTGAACATCCATGCTGAAAGACAAAATAAAATACTATTAGTACAATAAACAAGTCAAATTACATTACTTTCTGAAAGGAAATAAAGATACATAAAGTGCTTAGGACAAATTAAAATGGACTAGATAGTAACTAAAATAGGACTGACCGCCACCATACCATTGCTAAACTGCCGCCCCAGGTGAATTCAATCTAATTAATTAGTGACAGAGTGCAAACAACAACCAATCAAGGGGGAGAGGAGAGAGTGAGAAACCAGGAAGTATACTAAAGGAGGTGCAGTAGGAAAAGAGAGGAAATGAAAGGAAACAAAATAGTGAACAAATAGTGATCTTTACTACACTGATCAATCATTGTTGTCAGTGACTGTATTTTTAAATGTATTAAGATCAGATTTATCTCAGACACTCAGTGTTCTTAATTCCTGATTATCTTACTTTTCCAAAAATCTCGAAGATCTCACTAAAAGCTTTTGTTCTTATATAAGCACATAAGAAACGTCATGCAATTCTCTCTGTAATGATCGTGATTATTGCAACGTTGTTGGTCGACTTGGTCTTTTTTTTTCCGCTGAGTGTCGGTATAAAGTGACCCAGGTCAGTGTGTCCTTACTAATCCCCTTTCCACAGAGCGACCTGAGCACAACATCAACCAATCTGATGCTCTAACAGACTCTGTTGCTTGTTGAAACTTTAGTAAACACATCTGTTAACACAAGGCTTGCACCTGAGGTCTTGTATTTTTCCAATGCTTTTAAATCAGGTGAAATCATGATGATGTTTTTTTATCATTAAGGGACTGAATTATACATCCAAGGGACGCGTGGAGATAAATGGAGGTGTTCAGCATTTCATTTTCAACAAATCGACAGCCCACCATCTCCACAGTTAACTGCGTTATTTTAAAAAGTGCCTCCGGATTGGTTTGTCCTGAAACAGCCCCCACACACAATCACAAACATATTCTTTCCTATTTTGTTGAAATGAAAAATGTTTTTCTTGTTACCTTGTTTTGGGTTACTCTGATGATAACAGATCATGTTATGAATATGCATTTGTTTTTGTTACAAATGATTCATGCATGCTGTTTATGAAACATCTATGAGATGGTTGTTTTTGAAATGAGCAGATTTTGCCATTAGTGGTCATAGGATGCACAGTATGTGTCAACCTGCCTGTATGTTCTTTGCGTGCGACTGGTTTGTTCATCTGTGTATGCATATGGGAGAGAGAATTGTGTGTGTTTGTGTGATTGTCAGAGCCTCATATTATAATCTGGCAGGCGGCGACAGTGTCAGATGCCCGGCTAGCGGGGCAGCAGAGTACCCCCCCTCGCTCTGCGGCTGAGCCACAGGAGGCTGGTGGGGGGAAAGATGAGCTAACATGATGATTCACTTATCTCCAGTAGTGCCAGCAAGCTGTTGCCATTACTTTAAACTGCTTTGGGAAATGCTTCTTTGCCACTAATGCAGTTCAATAATAGAGGAGGGGGACTTTGGCAGATGGAGAAAGGACTGTAAAATATCCTCTTTCGTGATGCCAATTGTTAAGTTCGAGATAAGAACTTTGCAAAAGAAAATTGACTTTGACAACAATACTCAGTAAATATTTTCACTTCATTTTCTTGCATTTTTGTTTTGTTTGTCATTCTGAGCAGCTGAAGGTGCCCTTATGTGATTTCAGTTCATTTATGGCTTTGTCCGTTTTCAAATGCTGCATAAATAGCACTCACACTAGTCTCATAAGAAATGCAGCCGGAGGGAAATTCCACAAGAACACTCTGAATGTTTGCACCTGAAAATGCTTTATAACTTCAGGCCAAGGAATAAAAGCGAACATTTATTCTGCTCTAAGGTGAAAAATCTCTTTCATAAATATATTTTGTTCTGTCAAATATATCTGGATCAAATATTACAATACATTTCTGCAATGCAATGCATTGATTCCTGGACTGTTTTATTTGTATTGTTCATGTTGTTACTTTCACATGTGCTTCTCTTGCTGCAAGTCAAAGTTTGCTGACAGGTCATAATATAGGCTACTTACCTGAGGAAATGGCGTTTGAAAAAAACTGACCTTTCGTAATGCTACTCCTATGTGTGTTTCTTGAGTTATAGCTAAATTATTATTGCGTTGATGTCAACATTGCTTAAGAAAATGTGACTTCTTTGTCTCTTCCTATCTGATGTGATGCCAAGCCAAATGGCACAACAAACAAATACAATAGTCTACAGAAATGGTGATACCAGTAGTATTCATTAACGTAGGGTTGGTCAATTTTGATGTAGGCCTGTTACACCTACAACTTCTACGGCTACTTGCAATATAAGTCAATGTTAAGGCCCAAAAGATCTCTGTAGGCAGAGGAAATACATTCTTTGTGATTTGATAGCCTCCTAGTTAACATTACATAAAGCAGCAAATCAATAGGCTATTCAATTACTGGTCTTAAGAGTTATTTTCTTTAGCTGATATAGTCCACATTTTAGACTAAATTAAGTCTCAAGTGTATAAGGAGCACATAATTAAAGCGAGAAACAGAATCTTAAGAGTGGTTCCTTCTTCGGGTAGGCCAAATATAAATAGCCTAGGCTAATAACACAGAGAGTCACAGCCTAACATAAAACATTTAAAACATTTCACTGGCTTTCATTAAAAAACACGTACAGAATAAAAAGATGCTGTCTTTTTTTATTATTATATTTTGTTATAATTTGTATTCGATTATTTTCTATAATATTTATAATAAAATTAGGACTTTTCTCATGTTGTAGCAACATGAGGGAGCAGCTTCCTTGGTAACAATAGCAATTCTCGCGAGAAATGAGAACGTTGCTGTGAAGATACTTAGAAAGTTTTCAATTGTGTTAAGCTAATTTACTGAACGAAAAACAAATATCTATGTTGACAAATGCTTGCTGTTTGTCTAGACAATGCTTAATTTGTAGATAAATTCACTTTGCTCCACAGGGACATTGTTTTATTCTGTCAGACAGGGAAAATGTGACTTCCGCATCCGTTCATTTCGATTTCGCGGGGGAGAAGAACCACAGCAGAAGTTAAAGCTCGTAGCCTCAACGAGTAGTTTTAATGGAAACATGCGATGACTGTAAACGAGACACTGTTCAACTCTGTGTCTCACTCAACCGGCTTTTTAAATAGTGTTAATGTCACACACACACACATTGAGACTTTCAGCATGTCACTTCTGTCTGTGGTGGAGAAAGCTGTCAAGTCCTGCAAAGCTGAACAAGCCAAGATTAACAGCAACATTCAACTCTACAGAGAGTTATTAAGGACTTTGTAAGTACTGTTGTGCATGAGTTGTCTACTACAATGTTTGATAATTGTTCGTGGTTTAATTAGGTCAACAGTTTCTCTGTTTTTATAGAATAGTCATTTTATCGTAATCTCATGTCCACGCGTACACAATGGAGGACATTTTTATACCGTACTAATTGCTAAAAATATT